GATTAATTAACCCTCCACATGATTTAACCTCTATAGAGATGATATTTTATCTAGATCATGTATTTTTCAAAGGTTCAGACCAGAAAGTTTAACATTGTTATTTTTCTCATTGTTGTCTTCACTACTCAGCTCCCAGCCGTCTAGTTTGAGACAGCTTGACCTGAGTAACAATGACCTGAAGGACTCTAGAGTGAAAGTTTTGTCTTCTGGACTGAAAAGTCCATATTGTGAACTGGAAACACTCAGGTCAGCGTTCTTGAAATCTTCAGTAGATGAGGTTTAGAGGTTTACAGTCTAAGGTTTAGATTGACTAATGGCCATTTTTAACTCCTGTTTCATCTTTGGCTGCAATTTCCTGTTTGCATTTAGCTATTTTTCTCTTCTCTAAGAGTATCTGTCATGTCTGCAGGCTGTCAGGCTGCCTGGTCACAGAGGAAGGTTGCAAGTCTCTGGTCTCAGCTTTTAGCTCCAGTTCTTCCCATCTGAAAGAGCTGGACCTGAGCTACAATAACCCAGGAGAGGCCGGAGTGAAGATGCTTGAGCAGCTAAGACTGGACACTCTGAGGTATGTAGATGGCCGTTACAGCCACAAACAGTGTGTGATAGATGAGGAAACTGGCTCTGTCTGATTACTTAATGCTGGAAACCAGTGTTATTTGAACAATCACACATATAGGAACATTTTTCCCATTCTGGTCTAACTTAAACAGTAGATGTCTGTATGGGGTCTCAAAGGATAAAATCAGACTAGTGGGTGTTTTTGACTGTAAAGTGGATGTAGCATTAACAACCACTGGTCCTGGTACCCTGCAGCCTGCACTACGGGATATGTGTTGCAGCACTGAGAGCTCCAGAAAGAGCCTTCATGGTGGCCCTGCAGCCAACCAGCACTTCAGTCAAATGCTGTCAAAAGTGGTCCCAGAGACACTGTTAGCTGTAACCATCAATGACCAAGAATTGTGTCATTTAATTCAAGGTTTCCCTGTTTTATTGTTTGATATCATTTCTGAATAAATAAACCAAGATGACGAGCCTTTAAATGCACTTATGTTTAATATTCTTTATTTCTACAATATTACCTCACAAAGATGATTACAGGCATTAATTAACACAGTTTACAAGAGAAAAACAAAACAAAACGAAAGGAAGAAAGACAGAGAGAAAGAAAGAAAAAAAATGCACTTATGTTAGTATAAATATGCAAAAATAAAAGATAATTTTCCTGTTAGGAGAATAAGAAATAAACATATTCATCACATGAATCAAACCACAACCTCCTCCTGCAGTGCAGTATTGTGATTGGTTGGTGCTGTTTCCATCATTTATGTTTGTTTACCTTCAACAAATTTGCTCTACATTTATTAATTAGAAGGATTATTAACAAACATCTTTCTCTCCTGCTTTTGGTGGAGTGAAACAATAACTCCTCTCTCCAGAGGTCCACAGGTCCACTGGCACCTGGTCCTAACTTCACCCATGTCTGCACCCTCAGACATCCCACTGTGGAGGCATCCTCGCCTGGACCAGTGGCTGCCCTTGTGAG